TTATAAGAAAACACAACACGAAAATCGATATATATGTTATTTCAGAATAATGTTGTAACGCAATGACGTTACGTATATATCTTGAAATTGATATCGTTAATGTAATGACATTAAATCGACGTTCTCAATGCGATCAATAATTTATCGTCACTATCCTTCTTTCCGTGATAGCTTTTATTTTATAACCGCACGTTTATATTCATTAAATAGATATACATTATTATTTATTATCGTTGTTATAATTATCATTACTTTATTATATTTTTTTATTTTCATCATTGTTTTCCCCTCTTGCTCGTGTAATTTGTGACTTGAAATCATGCTCTACCATATTAAATTAAAATTATACGTACGTATATATTATACTATTTTAAATAGACGGACTTACAGCGAAAGTATGTGCGCCGAAAATAAGTCTCCGTTAATTAGGCGTGTGTCTGACATTCGCGCGAACAAAAGATTCTCATCTCCGACCTTTTGTGATAACAAAAGTGAGTTTCCTTCAAAATACACTGTCAGATTCACTTTTTATCGTATCTTTTTAAAACAAAGCTTATTTATTTCCAGATAATAACTGGAAATGTAAAGAGAAGAGAATATTTTATGATAAGAAATTTTGTGATAAAGGTAAGGAATATAAATAAGATAAAACGAGAATTTATAAGAGTCCGGTAAGCATTTATTACTTGTGACAATGAAATTTCTAATAATTCGAGATTTTAGAAATGAGATGACTTTTGAGATTGTGTTTATTTTAAATTCGTTTCGATTACGAATATGATTTTGAGATAGAATAATAAAATGTACAATCATAAATAAGAAATGTGAAAGTGTATAGGCAAAATTTTAATTGTATTAAATGTTTTTCAAATAAACTAATAATATATCAACAATTTTAGTTAATAGAATTATACGAATAAAATATATTGCCTTATCAATTAAAATGTACATTAAATTAAATATAAATAAAAAGGAAATAAGACATAAGGAAAGAAAGACAAAGGAAATAAGACGTAAAGATACAACGAAGAAAAATAAGAGTTTCATCATGATTTTCATTCGTTTAACATTCGTCAAGAAAGTTTGTATTTCTGTCATTAATAGTTCGGAACAAGTAAGTTCCAGCTTCTGGCTTTGAAAAAGAGTCTGTAAATTTATGAAGTTGTTATGGCGCCTATAACAATGTTGCAAACGAACTTCAATAATACGTTCAATATTATGTTGCTATTGTTGAAGTATTTTAAATCTTCCAATTATGAGATTAATAAGCTCAATATATCCAATGGCTAATATATTAAACTCTAAAACAGTTTAAATTGATGAAACTATTTTATGAATGAGGCAATCGTCCTATTTATCGTTTATAATAATTGTGTAATGTATTTTTTGTGCTAAAAAAATTTATTAATTTTGCTTTCACGATTTATATCGTCCGCATATTTTTAGAAACTGTACCAAAAATATCCCAACTTGCTCAAAGCGAAATTTCCCAGGAAGGAAGCTGACGGCATTAAACGTCAAAATGACGTCATTTTAAAGTCGAATGACGTCAGTTTGCTACCTGGGTTACTGCAACTTGCAAAGCGTGAGCTAGTTTTCACAATTTGATTAATCGTATTAAAAATTGTCGCTGTTAGTCATTTCAATTCCGTGCCTATTTCCTGATACTATAGAATATTCTACAAGTAGCAATTTAATATTTCAGTTTGAAATATTCAGAATTGATTTTTTTCGTTCTGTAACATGCTTGAAGAAAGCTTATCGTCTACTTTTTTATACATATATGTTTAATATTATATTGCTCTATATGTTTAATATTATATTATTCTATAAATCAATATAATATAATAAAAAAATAATAACATTTTTTTTATCTTGTCGTCTCGGTAATGTTTCATTAGCATTAATATTTTGTGACAAAGAAGTATTTTGATAACAATAAACTGATTACGAGAAATGTGATTAGTATCACGATACGCAACTAGGTTGAGAGTCTTACGTTAACGAACCGAAAAAAGATTAAAAAAAAACTAATTTCTTTTCTACTTCCTCAAAGAAATTGCAATTTCATTTAAACACGTCCGTGGAATGCAATTTGGTTTAAAACATACTTATAAAACGTTTCTGTTTTTCCCTGTAATCACTTTCCTTCGCTTGACAACGAGAAAACGAGGTCGGCGTCAATGGATTTACTCTGTATACACAAAAATTACTTCGCACAAAACATTTTCAAAGGTCAATGCGATTCGAAACTCTTTTAATTTCTCCAGATGCCTAATGCAGAAAGAAAAAGAACGATTTTTCAGGTCTGAGAAAATTTCGTTGTGTTGGAGAATGAAAGCGATCCAGATTGATTCTTTTATTTATGAACTAAACTTCACTGCAATAGACATTAAGCATTAATGTATGCCGCGTTAATAATCGTTAGTAAATACATTTAATTATGCATTAGTTGATGTATAATTGGGTGGTAATAATTTTCGCGTAATATAAATCTGCGCTAAATCGGATATGTTAATATTGATTATTAATGTTAATGTTGATTATTACAGATTCTCAACGAATATAATGCAAGACGATTGAAATTTATGACAGTAAAGGTGTGTCGCGTGTATAACATTTATCATTATAAAATACAAGAAAAAATTTAACTCGAAAACCAGGACATTGTAACTCAAGCAAAATTACAGTTATGCATTTTGTATATCGAAAAATGCTTGGGACAATCCATCAGGTTTTATGATCAATCTTAATCTGTACACGTGTGGGAAATACATGAAGCGCATTAAATTATGTATATGTTTATAATTATAACGTCATTTTGAACTTCCAACGCAATAAAGATTGCATAATCACATATAATACACAAAGTTGCTAGATATATTATAATTAAAAATATCTTATATTTTTCGTATCAGTCATTTAATTTTTTATGTATATGTAATAAAAATTATATAAGTATATGTAAAAGATATATAAAATTTTTTTGAAATTACAACATACAAATTATATAAGTTTACGAAAGACAATAAATATATTATAAATAATGCAAAATATCAGATAATCATGTACTTCCCTTAGTGAGATTTTTGTTATAATTGATACATATATAACATCTTAATAAAATTTCCATTATTGTTTTATTAGTCATCGCCAAAATCTTGTTTACAATAATAATTTTCGATGTAATCACAATGAGACTACATCTTGAAAAATTTAGAGAAGTAGAGACCGAAGTAAATTACGTTGAAACTTACTTTGAAGCATTCATCAGCTTCATTTTATTTCGGCAAATAAAAGTAAAAATAAGTTTGTAATAAACTTAAGAGAAGTTGCTAGATTATAATTTAAAAGTCGCGCGAATTGCAGAATAAAAATTAATGATGATAGTTATATACGAAATCGATAAAATTAACGCAATAATTGAGTTTAGTACTAATATTTGCACTCATTCATATCTATCAGTTAAATTTGCGCTCGATTGCCAGCGTGAGATGACAGGGATGACCACGATTGGTATGGAATTATCGGATATCATTAATTAAGCATTTGTCAAGATCTCTCTTGTTATACGAACATTGTTGTACATACGCATCGAATAATTAAATATCGAATAATTTAATTTAACATGCGGAAACATGTACAATTTTCCAATGAAATTATCCCATCCATGTACTTTTTAAGCGTAATGAGTATCAACCCACATAAAATAAATGTAAGTAAGATTGATTTATCACATTCAGAGAGAGAACACATTTCTCCTATATTCAAATATTAATTACGATTATTACCACAATTAATTATAGTTATTACAATTAGTAAGTTTGCTCAATTTCTTGAGAAAAAAAACCTTATCTCATAATAAAAAATATTTATTCCAGATTGTATGGTATCTAAGAGAAGTCAGACATAGTTCACTTCGAGGTCATTATATCATTATTATATAATTACATTATATGTACATACATGTATGACATATGTACATGTATTAATTACATGTAATGACATAATAGCGATAAATAGGTCAATGTCAAAGCTAAATACTAGAAAGTATGTTATAGATACATATATTGAAATGTACTAACATAAAATACATGATAATTCTTGCTCGATAGATAATTAACTGAATAATATTTTAATATACCGCCAGCTAAAGTGCTTAATACTTTGATTTTTATACAAAGTACAGATTAATATAAAATATGGACATATTTTATAAAAAAATCATTGAATATCCACGAAGCAAATTATTCGCTTTTAATTAATAACATTTTGTTGGATCCCATCTCCCTTAAGATCTGGATTATTCATTTGGAAATTCAGTAATATTGAAATAATGTGATATTTTGGAAACATAAATCTTAAAATACAAAAAAAAAAGATTAAAACCATTATACATATTAATAAAGCTATCTGAGTATAATTTTAATAAATAAAATATAGCTTATCTACATTTTCGTTCACATTTTTTTCATAAAATTGCTTTTAATATTTTGCACTGCATCTCAATTTTATTTATGAATTTTATCGTAATAAAAATCACTATGAAGATATTTAAAATGTTCACACAATAACGCATTTATTCATTCATTTAATAAGTCGGCATTATTGAAATTGCGAAACCAATAAATTTGCAACTAATTATTTGATTATCATATGTATGAACTCTCAATATGCAATCGAGAGATTTCAGTCATGCGAGATGTAGTTTCCACTAATAAAATGCGATAATGTCAAGGTCTCCCAAATTGTATTTTAATTATATATTTTCTTTGAGGACAAAGTCGATCCTGAAGTGCTCTTTCAAGTATGTGTGAAGCTCATATCCCCGGTCCATCTCCGCAACCGGGATCATCATTAAAGTTCACAGTGATAAGAGCATCGTGATCACCGTCATCACCACCTGGAAGATATCAACGCCACCCACGATATCCCGGCATACACCACATCGGCGATATCCGACTGCGCCACTCCGATTCCATTCCTGTAAAAGAGGGAACGCGCGCCGCCGCCATCGTTCATTTACAACCACCTGCTCGACGGGGTAGCATCGTCTCGTCTCGTCTCGTCTCGTCTCGTTCTTGTCTCTGTGTCATCCCTTATTCGCGACCGCAAATAGGCAAAAGCGTGAACTGTTTTCTTTCTTTGGGAATCATCCTCGCAACAGCGAAGCACGTCAACAACCATCGCGACAGAATGAGAACCAAATTTCGCGCGACTTCCGGTCCCGTTTTCTCGCTCTACCTCTCGATCGTTCTGCTCGTGGTTCTGATTTCCGTCAGTGACAAGGCGCACGCCAAACGTGAGTATTTCTTTATTTGTGCTTGTGTTCATTAATGCATTTAATTACAGATTTAAGCATTAATATAATTTACAAAACCCCAACGATGGAATTTATATTAATTCTAAGATAGGATATAGGGGGACGGCATAAGGGCTGCATTACGGAATATTGATTATTTCAATGCAAATTTCAGAATAAATCATCATATAGCGATAAATATGTTTTCAATCTATCAGATAATCGTTATTTCTGTCAAATTTATTGGGTCGAAAAGTAATTAATTCTCTTCAAGATCTTCTAAAATAATCGGTATGATATACTTATATATATGTATACAGTGTTACAATGTTTTTTTGCTTTATGAGACTTTTTTCTGATGTTTTTTATTTTATTCAGATTTTATAATTAATTTGAAATTGATTGAGATCATATCTTTACGTATTATAGTATGTCGAAAAAGAAAATTTATTTTTTTATTTAATTTTAAGTTAACTTTCTCTGTTATATATTATATATAAAATAATCAAACATCTGAATATCCAATAATTTTATATATAAAATAATTAAATTAATGCATATGTGTATACTGAACGCATACAACTAATATCTTAACTTATGAAATTAGCTGAGAACAAAATAAGATTTTTTGCTACACGTTTATATATTTTCTTGTAAGCTAACCAGCTTGCTGACCTAAAGTCTTAAAAACTTTTAGATGCATATCATAAGCTAGTTTTTCATTAATTAATATTCTTGCAAGTTAATTTCTGTTTGCACATATTGGAAGTTTGCATTGATCCCATACATTTATGAAGCGCATTTTTAATATATAGAACTTTAAGGAATAATGATCTATATACTTAAAATTATTTCACAATTACTTGAATTACATTAATTATGTTATTTTAAAAAGCTCATTTTCCATCACTTTATAATTACTTATATATATAAGTAATATTATATAATATAAGTAATATTTATAATTAATGCTATATAATTATTGCTATATAATAATTACTTATAAGTAATGCTTATAGTTTTTATTTTAGAATTGTTGTATATATTTGTTGATTTTAATATTTCTTTTAATTGCGCATCACGAGTTACAGATATACAATAAAATTTTCTTGATAATATCAATTGATCAATCGAAATAATTTTTTCTATTTTTCAGAAAGTGATGGTAAGTTCAAATAAATTTCTACGAATTTTTTCATTTGGCAAAATATCTTACATAAACGCTAATTAAATATTCTTCTTTTTCTATCAGTTAAATCCGAAATACAATTAAATAAGTTTTTAATTCAAATTATATTTCTTTATGCAAAACAACTGAGAAGAAGTTGCAAACAATTTAGCAATTAAGAAAAACTTGCATAAATTTATTATCATTAATTTTTTATTATTATATTTTGTATATATTAAAATGAATTTATATATTCGTAAATATATACATTTTTTGTTTTATTTCTTTTCGTTATTATTAATATAAAATCAATTATTTATATATAAAAAAGAATCTACATTGTAACTGCATAATACTTTAGGCGAGATATATATCTCATAACTTAAGAAGAATAAAATGTTCTCCTAGTTGCAAAAGCCTTTTGTCATTAAATTATTAAACAGTCGTAGGTCATGGCGCACACGATATTGACAATCATGTATAAAATTTTGGCCTTTTTGTGTGTCGCTCCTACGTATTTACTCCCCCGCGTTGAAAAGTCAAAATGCAAATATGTACGTCAAAAACGTCAAAAAAGTTTGTTTACGAACGGTTCTATTTTTTTAGTTTTATGCTTTCGCAAAAGTTATAATTTGAACAACGCTTTGATATTTTGCTTGTCGCGATGCCGATTTGTTTCGTTGCTCTGACATTCGACTGATCGTTTCCACTTTTCGCAAAGCCGAATCATCGAAATGGATTCGCGGAAAAACTTACGAGCTTTGAAAATGTAATTTTTCAGGAAATACAGTATGTCAGCTCTTTTTTCTGTCACAATTGTACCGTATACACGTTAATGCGTCACGTGAAATATGAAGAATTTCAAAATGTATCGTTCATATAAATAATGAAAATTTTTCCATTAACCTATACGCTTAAGACGATAAAAAGATATCAATGAAAATAATCCGAAAGATCGAAAGATATAAATTGATTGTTTAATATGATCTCATTTATCTTTTTTTATTATAAAAAAATTCATTTAATATAATTAATCAATTAGAGAAGCAGTCTTTTTATTTAAGTAGTGGGAAACATTTTATATTGCTTAATCTTTAACTAAACTATTTGAATTATTTATTTCTTACATATTAAAAAAATTTATAAAATTAAAGAAAACGGAGACTAGCGATTTTTTTTAAAAAACAATATATGGTTTGCATAAATGACAAATATATCGATTTTATACCATCTTTTATAGAATCAATTAAAACTAATGGAGTTTTATGAAAGACTGCATATTATATATGTACAATAGCAGCGATATATGAGACGTGCAACTACGGGTATTATTATAGACTTATAACATCAATCGTTTAATTTCCGTTTCTGAAAGTACAAGCCCAACAATGTACGAAATGTAAAATTCAGATAGTTGGGTTGTTGATTACTTAGTTAGATTGCAGATTTAACAACTGCATGCGTCCGCTCTCAACTTCTATTTGGGTCTCCGCGAAGTCAGCGATAGATTTCTGCGCGATGCTGTCGCGAAGTTCTGTCATTCTACGCAAAACTCGTGTAAAAGAGAATTATCACTGCTCTATTGTAATGTCAAATCCGTTAACTCTCTCGCAGCTACGAAATGTTATAATAGCATTGACTGTTTGCTCATGTTTCCGTGACACAATTATCGTTCCTTACACGAGCTAGGAATAGTACAAGCGTAGGATTTATGGATAGAAATTATCGAGGACACGAAACTATGCGTGACAATTGATAGAAATCGAACTGTCAATTAATTCTGATTCACTTTTAAAATTGCATAATTTTTTTTTAAATCTATTAATTATATTAATTTTTAATTTTTTAAATAGAGTCTATAAAATTTGAAATATTCATTTTTTTATAATTTTTTATTATATAATATATTTAATATTATATAATATTTTTATTATATATTTTATTAATATAAATCTTATATTGCAAATATATTTCACTTTAAACGGAGATCTTTCTTGAGTTTTCTACAGACTTAATGATAAAAATAAAATATTTTGCATCCAGAAATTTCAAACTGATTTTGTACTGTTAATACATTATTAATACACTGTGTTAAGTGTATTAATGTATCGTTAATTGTAGTATCTGAACTATGTATAGAAATCATATTTTATATATGCAGTTTTGACACTCCAGTTAAATAAATATCAAAAATTAGCAATAATAAACTATATTAATATGATAGAATATATATTTCGCGATATTAAAAATCGTGTCAATGCAGAAAATTGTAGCATAGTTAGCATATAATGAAACAGTTCAATTAAGTGTATGTAATAGGTAAATATTACATTACATTAATAATTGTGCATCCAGCAACTCTTAATATAATATTCTCTCAATTTGTGTGCTGTTCCAATCGTTCGCCTTATTCATATTTATTACACAATAATCAATTTTGAATTAAATGTGCATTAATTTTCAATATACATCACTAATCAAATGTAGTAGATTTATCGTTCAATATTCAGTATACAAAAAGAATTAATTTGACAAATATATTTCTACTTGTCTATTTTCGAATAGTCAATATTCATAATCGACATCAGTTAAAACACTAAACAAAAAAGCAAAAAAATTAGCATTTAATTCAGTGGCTCTTATTAGATTACTCAGAACCGTAACATCGTTTCAATCTACATCGAAGAGCAACGAGGTTCTACTAAAGAAGGAAAGATAGAGCTTTATTGACGTCAATTTAATTTTTCTTTGTTTTCTTTTTCTTTATTTTTTTTTATTTTAATATTTTCTTATTGAATTTCCTTTCTTATAAATCCTGCTTCAAACAATTAATAATTCACAATTTAAATAAAAGTAGAAACCTATTCATAATTTTAATTGTGCCGCATATTTTAATATTATGTATATTCTGATAAGTATCCTAGATGTCTGTTTCTTGAAATTATTTCTTGAAATGTTTTTCGTTTACATAAAATTATACAAATAAAAATACGTTTAAGTTTTATCGGAAATTACGAACTGTCTAAAGTGAGCTTAATAAAAGAGGAAACCAATTATACTTGATTATACTTGATTGACACTTATTAAAATTCTGAAAGATAAAAATATATTCAGAATTATTTATCTGCAACAACTCTCGCGTATACAACTGTTCTTTTGATCATGTTTCATGCGGTTAGCAAATTGTATTAATTAACAGTTACGAGAAATAAAATATATACGTTATAACGATGCGTTATACAATCATACACAATTGTCAAAGTAATATGGGATGATGGGAATAAAGATTGTCATGTTTACATTTCAATATATTGTATCTCTCCTAATAATTGTAAAGAGAGAAATCACTGACCTGGAAGTTTACGAATTTCCATTTAAAATCATCTTCGCAATTTAAATTAAAATCATAAATGCATAAGAACATGATGCAAGTGTGTAACAGTTTACAAGAAGTTCAGAGATTTCCCATATTTTTTAAAAACAATTTTCCGTATTTTTCGAACGTTTATTCTTTTTAAATCGCGACAAAATTGATTGCATCGGCTTAAAGTTAATAGCTACAGTATTTTTAACCAATTTTTCGATTGTGTTTTCATGCTAAAGATATTAAAGTACAATACGATAAGAGTTTTACAGAACTTTTTGAACAATTCTAAATTTTAATAAAATGAATTTTATAATATCTAAAATAAATATAAAAACAAATAATAAAAAATATGGAAGCAATATACAAGACTGAGACAACATGTCAATATAAAGAATGAGAGAAAATGGAAAAAATATACAAGTTTTGTTATCCAATTCACAAAAATGTTGCACACAGTCAAAATCTAAATTTTCAAATATATAATTGTACGGTTGCTCCGTGTGGAGAATAAATAGATTTCTGAGAATACTCACTAGGGAATTACACAAACTGTTACAAGAGTGGAGCAAAGTTAATAGTAAACAAGAGTTAATGGCGATTTTATAGATAGAATATCGAAATTTTTACTTGCGCGCGTTATTGGTTGTTACGGTGAGATGCACTTTGATAGATTCACATTGGATAGATAGAATGGAATTACGCAATACGCCAGTCCATTTCGCTGTAAATGTAGCGGCTGCTCAGATCGAAATTCGAATTGTTCAGCCGTGAAGCACATTTTCGTAAACGATGATGAATCCAGGTGCGCGGCTAAAGTGCAAACGAACATTTATCGGAAAGGTCGGGAAGCGCGAATATTTTTATTAATATGCTTGATATGTATTATCTTGAAAGCATATCAGCAAAATGACACATTTAGTCATGCTAAATAATTATAACGCGATATCGCATTACGAGATCAGACCATGTCTTAATCAATTTAATGTTTGTGTTTACTGAAAATCACAAGCATTGAGATTAAATTATATATAATCATATATATAATAATTACTACATTAATTAAATTTATTTATGTAACGTAGATAATAAATTACGCATGCGATTATGTTGCGATTATATTATCGCGAATAATGTAAAATGTGACCCACGTCGAAAAATAGACGAAAGATGTGGGCGCTTAACGAGTTTCCTCGTGACGTTGTAAAACTTAAAAATGTAGCACACGTAGAAACGGGATTATTCGATTGTACGGAGAAGGAAGGTCGAAGACGATGGTGGATTAATCGGTTTCGTTTCAGGTAGTAATTGAATGAGCTCTGTGCGGAGAGCAAGTTGTTCCTTTACCGTTCACGAGCAATTTTACTTCCGGCACGTATTATAGATATATTTTTTTGGTTTTGTTCATCTAGCGGTTTTTCGTTCACGCATAACCGGACTTGTTCGATATTTTAATTAAATATTCATGCGTTGAGATTTAATGGAAAGATTCGCGCAAGTTCTATTTTATTTAATACTTTTATCCATAAGTTACATGTATAATTCCGTAACATGTAAAATTCATAAGATACGGATATTGTATAAGCTACGTTAATAAATGTATTCGCGCATAAATATCAATCGGAAAATTAAGAAAATATTCGACCATCTTTATTAATTTTCATATATTAATTTTTTTAAAACAACAACAGCTATAAGTTTTAATCCAAGATGACAAGGCTAATACGAAAGCACGCGCTATAAAATATTTATATTACACTTTTCATGAGATACGGATATATCTTATCCTATACGCGTATAAAGATATACTACGAGAAGTTTAAATTATACTTTAAAAATACGAATAATAAGTTGAAAATTTTTGATATAAAACCAAAATTGTGTCTTTCGTATATTAAATTACATATAAATAAAATTATTTTTTGTTATATACAAAGTATAAAAATCAAATGTATTGTGTACTTCTTTCATAAATTATATAATACCTGTTTATGTGACAAACATTTCAATAAATTTATTTTTAGATAATCCAGCTGCGTAGGAAATTAAATTTGATTTCTTGAAGATTTCTTGAAGAGAAATAAATTTCATAAATAATTCCTCGCTCAGGAAGTGCTTTCACTTATTTTGCGTTAAAATAAATTATGACTTATTCCATATATAATAAACATTAATGAAATGCAAACATTCTTGAAAACATTCTTGAAATTGAAAAGGAAAATTTTATTTTTCTTGGATTCAACTCAGAAATCAACTTAATATAATACGTAAAACATGCGCGTTTGCGTTTATTTATATAATTAAAAAAAAAACCTTAAAACGACTCATTATAAATTCTAACTCATTATTTTTGGATTATCGATATTTCGCAATCTTTTTAATGAGTGAATAACGCAATTGCGTGTCCGTTTTAATATTAATTAGAGAGAAAAAACGTGGCTATCACATCACAGTTTTACTAAACTTACGTTTTATAAAAATAGCTCAATACATTTTGAATCGATACATGTCGAGCAGATATTGATGAATGTATATTCTGAGCAGCAAATCTACAGTAGAATAATAAAGAAAATTTGTGGCATTAACAAAAAAAAGATGTAGTTATATTTATTTTTCAAAGGCAATCTTGCTCCGAAAAAGATACAGAGTAGCATATTTCACAAGTATACTTATTGTTAGTACGAAATGTTTTTTGATAAATCATGATATTTTTAACGTCTCACCAGTGTAAAAATAAATCTCGTTTTGCAAAAAATTCCCGACAAGATTTATCTGTTTTCTGTTTTAGATAATTTTAGTTTCTCTTTTTTCCTGTGATTTAATTATCTGATATTTTACAAGCTACTAAAAATAAAAAACTTTTTTATCATTCCATAAGAGGTCATGCACAGAGACTTTAAAGAAATCTCCTTTTGTCTAAAAATTATTTCCTTTTTTTTGTATTTTTTGTATGTTGATTCCACATCTTGAACTTTCACAGCGCGAGAAGAAAGAAGTTCTGGCCAGATAAGGACTAATAACTACGTTCGCAAAGGTACGATTTCGAAAACAATCACGGTAGGCCAAGAAAATTCTATACAGGAGAGTTGTTCTTTTAGAATAAATATCTTTAGATCTCTATGCATATATAAAACTTCATTTTTCATTTTAATATTAAAACTTATTCTCAGTAATAGCTTTCAATGAAAATAAATTGTCATACATTTCATGCTAAGAACTTCTTTTTGCACATTATTACTATCAATATAAGACATAGCAAGTAAGATTCCGACAAGTTAATATAAGACACGATTTTCGAACATAACACATAACGTTTATTCAAATCAATGATGTCAAATAAAAATTGCGCAATTAAATAGAAGAAACATTTTTGCGAATGTGTGAATTTTTAACCTAGTTTCCTAACTATATGTAATTTTAACCGTATTTCAAATTATTGTCTTTCTCCGAAATTTCAAAATTAATGCTTTTGCACAAATAATTAATGCAACTAATATCAATAATTATAATGTATTTCAGGTGGTTGTGCGTCATTTGGACATTCCTGCTTCGGCGGTCATGGAAAGAGATTCGACTCGAGCATACAACATAACACACTGCAAGAAAGTATTGGCCAGAATCAAGAATCTGAAGTACCGTCACCGAACGATGAACTATTCTACATTCTTCCGAACGATGAATTCCGGGAACGATCGGACAAGTTGCCTTTCATACGGACTCGCAAAGACACTCAACAATTCGACCTTTATCCCCTGTCATCTTTCGTCAATCAATGGGTACGTGTATTTTGATGAATAAATGCTAGGAAGATGTGAAACGTATAAGGAAAAATCCTTCGATAATAAAGACAAAGAGATAAACATTTTTCTATTAGCGATAGATATCCTACATATGTCTTTTGCACTGTAATATTACGAAATTATAAAAATAAATATTTTAACCGATTAATATGAAAGAAGCGATTAAAAATAATAAAGATATATAAAAAATCTTATAATATGTTGCATTTTTCAGATAGCATCTCATCGTCGCCCGCATCGCATAGATACGGATATCACTAATAAATAAAGAAAGTGCACAAGCGAGTTATCTATATATATGTGAAGATTAAGCAGTTTCGTATCGCGCATATATGTATATTTAGAAAAAATTGATTATGTTATTTAGATTATTTAACGATAAATTCTATCGTTTCATATTATTATTGTGTATACTTCTTCGTAATTTGACAGAATCACGTTTCCTATTTAATATCTATATGTACTTAAATTATTAGGATTATTTTTATCTTATAGATATTTTTATTTTGAATATATTTTCTTTTAAATATATATTTTGAATATATTTTGTGATATTAATTTAAATTTTTTGTATGCGTTTTAGACTGTGTAGCTAAACTGCTTTTATATATTAGGTCACTATCATTCTGCGAACTTTGAATGTATAGTTTCTTTCGAAATTGCATCTTCTAGATGTTGTATTATTCTCGGCAGATAAATACGAACGCTGCGCGAATCGAGTCGATAACATTCATTTATCGTCGTAATAATAAATTATTCTCCGTTTTATTGTCTGCTGTTAAAAATCGATATAATATATTGTAATCAAACGATAAAAACTGTGAAAATGATCGTATATAAGCATTATAAACATTTGTCCCACAGTTGGTGACATTATGACATATTTTTGCGAAATAAATGTCCGCATTAGAATTGATCAAGTTATTCAACTACGCAACTAATAGATATTATTTATTATTTTTATATCCCTAATGTAATTATACAGTAAGAAATTATGTCTTGAAGTTATATTATTGATACATATTTATATGATATGTATTTTTTCTTACTTTATAACTTACGCACAATACGATAATAGTTAATTTGTAACTATCTCTTGACTTAATATTGATTATTCTTGTGATAATAATTTAATGACAATGACCGCATTTATAAATGATTTATTGTGTAAAGAAATAAGTTGAATAAATATTGGCAAACATTGAATCTTTTAAGATTGAATTAAATATTAGAGACTGTGTGATATATAAATTATATATACATATATATAAAATTATACATACTTTTATCTAATTTTTTTTACTAATATATATTTTTTAAACTTAGTAATTGACTTTCATATAAATTAATATAAAATCAGGCTTTCAGATTTATTCGATAAGTTTTACAGAGTAGGAAGAAGGTAGAAAGCTTTCAGTTTCACATAGATATTCAGAATTCTCTATAGTAGTAGATATACATATACAATCTCGCACTAGTCGAAATAAAATGCTATAGTAATAAAAAATTTTACTTAGAAGACTTATTTTTCTCTAGTAAAACTGTCGACGATAGCAGTTTTCTTAATTACGATATAATTATGTAAAATGTTCAACGAAATTGCTATCGTTAAATACTTTTATATTTAATCAAATTATATCATGACTAAGAGAATTGTATTCTCAGTTTTATTAGAAATGTGTAGTCTTCTAAATAATAATTATTTTTTTTAAATCCAGATGAAACATTAAATCAAAGAAAAAAATACGGAAAAAAATTACATACGTTTCTACAGAGAATTATTATATTATTACTTTGATTGTAAGATCTGTTTTTTTCGAAAATTCTTTTTCGTCACTATATCTTGCAGTCTTTTACATTTCGTTTATTTCGTATTTCCATTCTTCTCGTTCTGAAAATAAACGCATCGTTAAATGAGCGTTAATATTTAACAGGTAAATACTTAGAAAAACGTTAATTAAAATATTCAATAATTGTTAATAAAAATATAAGACCTACCAGAAATTGGAACATGTCTAACTTTTGATTATTAATTGGCATCTCGTATTCACCAGATGGAACTAGCAAGATTTCTGGAATAGAATTTTCAAATTTTTCGTTCATACTACGCATTATACCTTGTGCGTTGCTGATTTTCCGTTTGTTTTCGTTTTCGTTGTTAATTGGAATGCTGCAAATTCGCGTCAGTTATTGTGTTAATCTCTTATATATTAATAAAACTATCTATTAATATATAAATATAAATAGAATTACGAAAATAGTTTTTGTGTATGTGCATTAAGATATAAATTATTTTTCAGAGTGTAAATATTTAATGTAATTAAAAAAAATTTTTAATAACATTAATATAGATAAATAATAAAAAGCTAAAGAAGCTAATAATATTAGATGATGTTAAATTAGAACTCTAAAATCGCTATATGATTCTCCACTGATTATCTTAATACAATACTTTTTTAATTAAAATATGAGAAAGTTTAACCATGAGTCTAATAATTATAAAACAAAGTATAAAACTCCTAACGAGATTCCTCGAAGTTTAAAAACCTACCTTTTAAAACTACTATCCCTTCGCTAACTGTAAAATATACTTTATTCCTTATAATTCTACATAACTTTGTCATTATTCCTTTGAAAATATAAACTATCTCTAAGATATCTAATTCAACATTTATTGGCAATTTACCCCTTCATCACATGTATATGATGTTTCACAAATGCAATCTACTTTTTATACACTTATACATAATTTATGTATTATTTTTTATGACAAAAATGTCATCTAAAATTAAAATACATAATCTACATAAAATAATTATTATTTAATTCCAAGAGCTAACAAGAAAAAATTGTTAATCTAGATTTATCAATTTGGATGGAACTTTGCAGATGTATAGATTAAGATATACATATGTATAATATGTGATATTACTTATAGTCTTATGTCCCAATTAGTTTGTATATGTAAAATTTTGTTAAAATTAAAAGAGTATTCCAATATGTTTTATATATATACATATATTAAGGATAAAATATATGTATAAGAGATACAAGAGAACATCTATTAAAATCTTTCAGATAAATTAAACGCAAAAGGCGCAATAAAACATCGATAATATTTTTCGGTAAAATAATTAATAATAATTCGGTAAAGTAATTATTAAATAATTATTAATTAATACTTAAATAATTAAATTAAATAATTTGGTAGAGTAATTATTGTTGGGAAAAAAATATTTTTCGTAAAGAAATTTGTATCACAATGTTCTGTTTGTTTGATGCTCTCTATCTTGTTTTTCGCAGCAATTTACCTGATTGGTACAGTGCTATCACCATTCATTGATACCGTGTCCCATTTTGATGGGATCATTATTTTATCCTTAGAGAAATCATTCCATTTAATAGGATATTTATCCGTCAACGGTAATACGAGTTGTCCAGTAATCAAACGGGATAAAGTCCACTGCGCCTTAGAGGAATGCGCAATGTTGTTTTGCGGAGATCCGCTCAACAAAGTCTTGGCTGTCAGGATGCGCATGGTAGGTGCATCGCTGCGCTTTCCGTGCGCTAAAATTTTTTACATCGTAAATGTACTAAATATTATTCTTACGATAAAAATATACAAGTTATTATATATATATATATATATATATATATATATATATATATAATATTATTATATAGAATTACATACCTCCCCAACAAGAATGCCCATAGCTTAGACAAGATCCTGGATAAAACATTTATATATTACAATATCGAATATATGAAGCTTTTTAAAACTCTTTCTTGTTATTAATATTTTCACTTCTTATCATATAATAGGCAATTAAATAGAGAAATATTTAATAACATTTATTTGTAAGAATGTACGTACGTATGCATGATATTAAGTTAGTAGATAATAAGTTATATCGGAAATATAATTTCAAGTAACATGTTGTGATAAGACAGTGCATTGAGAACAACTAATTTCAATCAAAAATTGCAGAAATAATATTATGGCGCGAGCAACACTCCACTCTGGTAAAACAGAAACTGTGTTCAGTGCATTGCAAAGGAATGTAATAAAAATTTATTTGAGACCGCTTATTACACTATTATATTCCCCAGACGATGTTCTGCGTTAAAAACGATCTTATGTACCGTTTATAAACGATATGGAGAAGCTCGCCTCGACATTCCTCGTATGCAATGAATGCGAGGGCGCATAACAATCCCGTAAAATTGGCTTTCCATTATTTCTTTATTATGATTTCGTCCAGCGTTGTGCTTTAGAACTCAAATTCTATTATACTCTCGTCGCAAGAATTTATTTATTCGGAAGAATAATACGTATAGAATTTAAGAGATTTTTATGAAAAAATCCTGAGCATCAAGAATTATAGATATTATCAATTATAAAATTAAAATAATTCTCATATACTTTAATTTAAGTAGATATATAATCTAATGATTATCGAACAGGATATTTCGATATCTGCGTCTTTGTCGACAATTCCACTTGTAAAGTAGTTCGAAGAATAACAATCGGCTAGATATTCGATAAGCCCCTTTTCGAGTAAGTAAGAAGTAATTGAAACTGCAATAATCGGATTAAAAGAATGTTCACATCGAAAGGTGCAAATAGAATCGAAAACAGAAATATTTATTCACGTTTCGCGCGTGGAGCAAAATGTGAAAACGACATCCAGTATACCATAGGTGCTATTTTCGCGGCTGTATTTCCCCGATAGATTTCTTTTCTTCAGATGCAAAATGTGAGATGTGAATGAGAAAAATGCACTTTTATCGAATTGCGCATATTCAATTTACTCTCTTTGTGCATATATGTATATAATATGTCAGAAGAACTCTGGTATCTACGCGATTTTATTCTCAAAGGTTATTCTTTTTGTTAGAATCGATTTAAATATCATATTTGTCTCTACCATTCAATCTGATTCGAACTGATATACTTATGACCATCTTATTCACACAAAGGATCAATGTGATGATTAAGGAAACAGCTGACAAAGAGCTAGTATAATAGATAGAGGTTCAAATTTTTAGATTTTTATTTGAAATAATTTAAATTAAATTTCAAATGTCACACCTTCGGATATATGTATTGTATATATTCGGAATCTAAAGTTAAATTTTTTCATTCTCTTTCTTTCTGTCTCTTCCTTTAGGTGAATTTTGATCCAAAATTAATAAAACGTAATCGCATATTTCCTCTGGAAAATATAATAAGAACTATATTTCTCTCTTCTCTATTATTTCATAAGTTTGTTACGTTTTTTATTGTGCTCTAAGGAAGACGATGGGTAACCAAATATTGTAACAAATATCTTATATATGTCTAGCAAGAATCAAAATTGCATTTGCAAAATAAAATAAACAAAATTTTAAGTAATCATAGTTACTTAACTTTTAACTTTATATTACTATTATTTTATGCTAAATAATTTGAACATAATACAAAACAGCGCAGTATGTAGCAATGCATTTTTATTTTATAAAAAAAACGTTTTACATACTGCAAATAAAGAAATAATAATTGGAAACAATAATACAATACAAAAGTAAGTCGCGCAAATATTTCTGAGAATGAATTATCAAAGAGAGCAAAGCAAATTATATGCATTTCATACTATTTAAAAGATCCACAATTGAAAAAAAAATTTGATAATTCTGAAAATATTGTGTATAAATATATATATATACAATATATATATAATATATTTTTACGCTTTTAATTTTTTATCCGTTTTTGAGACACTTATTTTAAAATTCATTAATTTTCTTACATTATTATACGTAAAAGCATGAATTCTTCCACAAAAAAATTTTTTTAATTATAGGAATAGATTTCCATCTTTATTATTTTGTTATAAATGTCCGAAACAATATTTAACATCTTTTTAATATTTTGTAAAATATTACTTTTTACATTTTTATAATAAAAATAGAATATATGATTTTTTATATTTAATTTGAAATTTTTGAGTACTCTGCTAGAGACGATAAAAATGTATATTTATACTTAAAGGATTTATGAAGATTTTATCGTAATGTAAATATCGTCGCAAATTTATGCATTCAATTCCAGGAGTGTCCATTAAATTTTTAATAATTCAACGCATTAACACAACTATCATTAACACAACTATCACTGTATTAGTGATATAAATTACTTCAAGAGAAAAGTTGTTTTATAATTTATAGTTTAAATTGCACAAAGGAAACAAAATGTGCAAAAAAATGTCGGGTTATTGTATGCAAATTTCGAGTTTATATCATTTAAACTTTTCAAATTTTCACTAGTACCCAATTAATTTGCAACAACAAAACTATATAATATATATTACAATTTTCCTCATGCTAATCCACTTAGCGTTCCAAACACTATACTTAATCAGCTCTATATCCTCTTCGTCCTAAATTGATAGCCATATATATTCGGAATATAGTTTACAGATATTACACTGTCTTAAATAATCATTTTCCGCCCGATGCACAGACAAATTGCAATAAACATTATCCTAGCTACTTATAGACATGTTCCCGCTAACATTGGCATATTATCCAATAAACATTCAAGTTTCTACGTCAGAGCTTATAAAAATGTAACCATGATTAAAAATAATAAAATGCAACCGCGCGCTATAAAATTTACATTTATCTTAGTTGCAATTTTATAAATATATCATGAAAAAAAAAACTATGATTTTTCTAAAGTAATATTTTGCCTCGATCAATTTTAAAATTTCAATTTATATATTACAATTTTATTACAATTACAATTATTACGATTACAATTTATTTAATTTAAACTGAAATTCTAAGAAAAATTATTTATTGCTACGGATTAATTTCAACATATTTTAACTATTTATATTATACCATCATATAATGCAACAATAAATGTAAAAAGTACGGAACGCAATAAATCCATTTAATTACGTACATACATGCCTTTTTGATTACTTAAATATTCTGATTCCAAAAGCTGCTTTCGAGAGAAAACCAATTTATTGATGTTTACACGTTACAAAGATAACAATTCGTATATTTGAGAAAAAGAGACAAGTTGTATTGTGCTTGTCACAATTAATAATCTTTAAAATTGTGCAATATTTTTAATTTGATATTGATAGAATTGAACACGCTACGAAAATTTTTAATAATTTAATTAATTTTATAATATTATAGATTTTTGTTTTATATAGGTACTACTGTGTATGTATAAAATACTATATTTATCATGAAATGCTTATATTCGATTACAATTTGTATGGATAAAAATGTAAAGAGAAACAAGCAGAGCTATAATGTAGAGCTATAATGCGAAAACTGCATTATACCTACCAGCCGCGCAATCGGCGAAGCAGAAGATTAACATGACGATGCAGGGTAGCACGACGATTGTCATAGTGCGGGGCTTTTTCAAAGTCAATGCCATGTGATAATCTCAGTTGATACTTTACTATGTAAACGAGCAAACAAATATGTTCAGGAAATGTGGCCCGCGATTGTTTGTCGCCTGTAAGTCGGTTTAGCGAAATTTATTTTTCACAAGAAAGAATGAGAAAAATAGATTATAAAACAAAAGTTTTTTTCTGATTTTATTTAAAGATTTTTGCAGTTTATAATATTGATTCAAGCATAATGTAATTTTTACAAATGTGATAATTATTAATTATGTTAACATAAATTATCTTGTGTAAATTAAGATCAATATTTCTATATAAATTTCCTCCCTATGTATTATAAAATTACATTAATTAAATATAACATTATTAATCTACTTTCAAAAATAACAATTTCAAAATAGAAAATGTACTTTTACAAAACGTAAATATTGTCCCGCGCGCTTAATTTAAATAAAATTTCTTAATTTAGATAATTTATTTAGATAAAAATTTTTTATTTGTTAATTTTGTCAATAATATTTGAACTCTTTCTATTCTCATTTCGTACGATATTTTATATTATAAAATAAAAAAAAACAAAAGAGAGAGAGGAAATCTCAAATAATATATAACTCCAGCTATCGTACTGTGTATTTTGTTTCGTTGACGACTTCCTCTTTCTCGAATTCTATTTTACCTCTTTTTCTTGCACTCGCAAAATGAAAGTATGTAGGTATGTCACTTCCGTTCACCCTCGCAGAAAAGAGCGGGACACGTACGGATGCGTCCTGCGCGCGTTCACCAACTCGGAAGAGGAAGGGTTTTTTTTTGCTGCTCACAAAAGAATGGTCGATCTCGATCGAAGAGGTTGGCAAGTGAACTCAAAGCTGGGGAGCGATGCGACCAGCGCTTTTATAGACGTGTGACGGTACACGGCGGCGAGAGCTTAGTGCATGGTGGGGTTGGCTGATCAACGCGCCCTCAGGATGCGCACCTGCGTCGGTGACGGCGAAACTTTGTGCGAACGAACAAAAACAATCGTCGTGGGTGGGCTTTAATTGGAAATTTACCATAACACTAGGATTTTTGACATTAACTTCGGACAGTAATTTAAAAATTGTATCGATGTACATGGATCGTAGCTATATACTTTCATTTGACGTGCGTTGCGGAAACATTTGAATAATAAATTTGGAAAAAAAATGGTTTTATAACTTATCTTTCTCATTTTTTTCTTGTGAAGAATAAATTTCGTTAAATCGACTCACAGGGGACGAATAATTGAGTCATATTTCCTGAAATAAATTCGGACATTTTGCTATATCCAAAATTTTGATTATAATAAGTATGTATATCGAATTTGCTTACACTTTAGAATTTAATTTCCATGATTTCATATTAACTGTTATACATTTATTTATTAATGTGCATTAAATCCAACTCGTTTAACTAATTTCAGAATTATTGTTATTACTTTCACATATATGAATCCTTTGATCAATTTCTGTATTAAATATCTTCGCAATATCAAGTATCAAAACTCTGAAAAAGTGCGCTTAATATTTATACTTTTACAATTATGTAAAAATTATGATAAAATTAAAATATAAATTGTCAGAGATTAATTTTCTTATATAGTTTAATGTATTACACATTTAGTGTGTATTTAATAAATTTCTAACTGGTTCAATTAGTTTCAGAATTATCGTTATTTTTTCGTACGTGCATCCTTTGATCAATTTCTATATTAAATGTTTTTGCGATCAAGCGTCAAAACTTTGAGGAAATAAATTATATTTAATAATTAATACTCTTAAAATAATACAAAAATTTATAATAAAGCGTTATTGATTTGCATTTTTCAATTTTCAGTGTTTCTTTATTTTTTTGTTATTTAGAAACTACTTATCTTGGTAACTGGTAAATGTGAACAAAAATTTTTTAATTTTTTTAAACATTCGCTTCTTGGCGTATATACATAAATATATGCAAAATTTATGCTCTATATTTATAAGTTCTATATTTACGCAACTGCTTTTGCAAGTGTTATTTTATTCACAGTCAAAGAGAGGAAATAAATAATACATGTAAAATACATGTTAAATATAAAAATGAATTGCGTCACATATTAAAATTTTATACAAGAAAAGAGCTCAAAAAATTCTTATGTCCATAAATCTTTGTGGTTTTCTATAAATAAATTAAAAAATTATACATATAAAATTATAGAAACATATAAGATAACAACTAGATTTATGAAGTCCTTTTGAACTTTTAAGAAAGGTAAATTCTTTAATTATCTGCTTTTTATAATAGCTAAGACAGTAATAAATGTCTCTGATACATCTTCCAATAATTACATATAAAAGATGGAGAGAGAGAGAGAGAGAGAGAGAGAGAGAGAGAGAGTGAGAAAGATGCCTGTTTCTCTTTTGCTATTTTTCAACGAATTTTGATAAATATATTAAAAGACTCGCGATTTTAATATTATATCAATGTTAAATAATTAATAACATATGATTGCATAATATATATTAGATAAAATATCAATGAAAAAGGTGCAGACATCCTAATAATTTTATATAAGAGTAACATATAGTTTCTAAAAATTGCACCGTGTGTTATTTAATGTTATTAGTACTTGCAACCTGTCTAAATATCGCCCGTAGTGGCCATCTGGTCGTGTAACGTGTAATTAGATATCGTTGAGAGAAACAATAATATTTCGGACGCATATATATAACAAATATAATTTTTCGTGGAAAAAAGTACCATGTTACAAAAGTAACCAATATTTTTCACGAAATGAGAGCACATTGGAAATATAAAATTATATAAAAATGTCAAATTAATCATACTTATTAATTTATTAATCATATATTATTAATTTTATTAATCATATTTCCATTAACTTTATTAATCATATTTCATTAAATTTATTAATCATATTTTATTAATTTTGTTAATCATATTTTATTATTTATGAATTCGATATTATTTATAAATTAAAATAATATAAATAAAGATTATATACTGTAAATTGCGAGGCGAGAGAAAAGCGCGCAACAAGTTTCTAATATTAAATTGTAGATTGGCGCGGTTACTCGCGGGTGTCTACAAGTAGTATAGGTGCATCGTATCTCGGACGCATTGTCCGTAAGTAGTTACGCACATTCGCAGTCAGACCGCAGAGCACATAAAGGCGAATGACGGCGCACCTGGCGCTCATCGAGCCAACAAAGTGCAATATTATAAGCGTCTCTATTAATAGTTTACCTAATTATATTTGTAACGATAGAAAGGATTCGAATCGGAGTCTGTCCGCAAAATAAAAGAAGCTTTTAACGTAACATTAATTAGATTTTTGTATATACAATATAATTTTGATTATTACTGTTAGTGCTATATGTTTACATATGGATAAATAGAAATACAGATTGATCTAAAAGAAAATACACACAGCTATTTGTTCATCAGTTAATTTTTTAATGGAAAATATTGATCAGAAAATTAAAATTATACCGATACTTTTCATTTATCATTACATACATTTTTTATGTAACTGATGATATGAAATATATTATATATTTCAGACGATTTGTTTCGTTATTCGCGCTTTTCTGTTATTGCGCTAAAGATAATAAGAATAATGATTTTTTGGTCATTTTGAAGTATCAAACTTTGAAGTATATCACAAGTATACCAAGAAATTTAATATTACGTAACTGAAGAATTATGTCAACAGCACAGTATCATCCGCTGTGTGTTTCATCATGAAGAAGAGTGGGCTCGCGCATCGTAAAACCTAAGTCATCAGAAGAAGGAAGAGTGGCACAAGTTGCTTTCGCTGTCAATTACTTTTGCGGCCCTTCGCATGAAAGGCAATAAACGGACAATTTAATTTAACGAGCATAAAGAATCATTCCCGAAACGCCATGACATTTGAATGTTTCGTTGAGTCGCTTTCGTCACTTCGCATTTACGTTTAATATAACTTTACGGCGCCGAGTTCATGGCGTGAAATTCGTGGGGACGATGCTGTAACGTTTTCATCCCTGTAAACGGGATATCAGCGCTGACCCTTTATCGACTTTTTTTTTGATATTTACGAAAAGTATTACTGAATATTGTATCTCGTTTGAAATGCGATACGATTTAAAAATTCCACATAAAAATATTTATATTTAATTGATTATAAAAGGAGCGAAATTAATTTCATAAAAAATATTCGTATATTATCAATTAAATTTTTGATGAAAAAATATCGGATAAATATAGTAATGATTGGTGAATTCTTTCTGCTTATAATATCTGCGAGTGCAATTCCTTACTACTCATATATTAAAGAACTCGATGAATAGGAGTCAAAAGCAATATTCCGAGTCGTTAGATTTGCAGGAAGTGCTCCACTTATCTGAATTACGGTTTCTCGGATACTTCTCGATGATAGATTTCGCAATAATAAGTCCGATTTCTTCATTCCGGAGATTAAAACGTAATGCAGCAATAATAAGATCTCCCCTTGAAAGCTTGTCAGATAAATATACGTTTATATATATATTATACTTTAATTTCTCAGTTCTTTGCTGTACGTCGATAAGAATAGCGGCTTTATTTAATTCGAAAAGTTCGCGCGAAAGTAATTCCGTATTATTATTATTATTATTCTCTCGCGCGATATTCGTAGAATATTCATGAGATTAATTGGACAGTTCATTATTGATACCTAGCCTTGTTAACATTTTGCTTTCACACGGGCAGCATGTAACGGTCAAAGAATCATAAAATGACAAAATATTAGTATAGAAATGTTTGCTTTCCATAATTCATACTTGCTGTATCTCTCGTGTTTTTAAAGAGCGATAGCTCCTATATGTATAATTGTTAAGTAACTACTTCCATTTAGCTCTCTCTCTCTATCGCGACAAAATTTGTATCACGTAATCAACGTCCCGGCATGAAATATCGATGTTAAATTACGGAATCGTGACAGAAACGCGTATTCTCGACGAAGCGAGCGTCATCGCGAATCATCAAATAATTTGCTAAAACAAAATTTCGAAAATGTACGCACACAGACAGCGCACATCGAACGGCGCACGTCGTATACGCAAGCACGGACCATTTCACTGCAGCATTCGATATGCGTTTGCAATAAAAAGGAGAACAAACGGGCCGCGTAAAATGTATATACAGCGTGTCGATTCCGTGGAGGCATCGCCACGTGGGTGGACATCGCTGTTAATATTCTATTTTCGCAATCGTGCGGACTTAAGCTTCTTCATACATCGTGGTGTGATAAATGTGTCGACTTCGTGACGTCGTGCGCATTATGACGGTTTGTCCCTCGCAATTCTCCCCCGTCCAAAAGAACTCAAACCTGATTTCGTTCGAGATGTTAATGATTTGCAAAAGAAAAAAAACGCGTCGATTCGCGTCCCATGAAGCTGGAAAGAATCTCGCGCTTCCGCAACACCTTATATTTACGTGCTTATCCGAGACAGGATATTAAATGGGGATTATTTTTAAAAAGGTTGAAATGTATACTTTTATCTTTTCCATTAAATAGTTAATAAACATGTTTCAAAAATATATATTGCTCATTTCATTCCGTTATTTAATTAAAAAAATATATCAAGCGAAAAAAATAATCAATTACAAAATATTTCATTGATCGAAGCAAATATACGTAGTATACTGTTTCTATTTTTTTTTTAATTTAATAGGAATCCATATTAATACGATCTATATTGTAATATG